AGCTGGAAAGTTGTATCAAGTGGACTTACTCGGCGCAGTGCACATCATCGCCCACGTGTGGAAAAACACTCCGCCGCAAGTCATCGCCAACTGTTTGAAAAGCACAGCGGTTTTGTGAGGCCCGAGCATGCAGCAGTAGCTGACGATGGCATCGAGGCGGTGTCAGCCGAGTCCACCGACGATGACTGGCCAACTTTCGATGCTGTCCTTCCCACAGATGTGACCTTTCAGGACTACATCGCGATTGATCATAGTGTTGCCACGAGTAGTCTCCTGACCGATCAAGAGATTATTAATGATGTCACGGGCGCCCATGAAGACCACGATTCCGACGAAGAATCATGCGAGGAGATACAGACGCGACCTCATCGCACCTCACGGAAAGTCTCGGAGGCGCTGTTAATATTAGAGGACGCTTGCCTGAACACTCCCGACAGCTTGCGTGCTGTTGGCCATTTGGAACAGTTAAGAAAAATTGTGATGTCAGCCGGAATCTGCGCGAAAACGCAGATGACAATTACAAAATACTTCAACAAATAAAGGTGGGCTTCTGCAGCTTGATTTTAAATGTTGTTTTCCCTGTTCATTCGTTAATTTGGCATTCGGTTAATTCGTACAGTTTTTCCGGTCCCGTGAAATCCGAATTAACGAGCTTTTACTGTTTTACTAACGAGTTTTTAATTAATGAGCTTTTACATAGTGAGCTCTCGTACATGACAAGCGACTCTGGCGTTGCTCTACATGGCACTTCTTCGAATGAGCCGGGTGGCTCATTATAGAGGGTATGTTCTCCCCAGATTTCTAGATCAGGGAACACATGCAGATGGTACTGTCCAATCACAGATAACACGCAACCGGCGAGGGGGACAAGCATGCATGGCCCACATTAACGTGGAATATTGAGTCGTGATCACTGCACTCCTATGTGGCACCAGCGGGGCTCTTCCTCGTCGTGTGTGTGCTGCTGGTCGAGGGGTCCCAAGCTCATGACAGCATACATCAAAGGGCTCGCCAATCTGTTCGCTCAATTAGCAGGGCGACTTGCGGCGGCTGCCGCGGTCTCTTCCAAAAAAGATGCTGTATTTGTTGTCCTCTGTTGAACGGCTTATGACGTCGTGGCGACACGTCTCACCCTCCGGCTAGGAGGGACAATACCTGGCGGGCATAGGCAGCCGGCTGGTCGGCTACTTGTTTGAGGATTAAAAGAGCGCCGCTCCCTCGTCAGCTCTGGCGTTGGTCACAACTACATATACAACGCCGACGAAACCGCGCTCTTGTGGCAAATGTTGCGGAGCAAGACTTTGGATCTAAAAGGAACCTCTTGTCATGGAGGGAAAATGAGCAAAAGGCGTGTCTCGATCTTGCTCGCGACGAACATGGGCGGCTTTTGCAAGCTGCGGCCGTTCGTTATCGGCAAGAGCAAGTCGCCGCGATGCTTCAAGAACGCGAAGAGCTTCCCGGTCCGAAACACGTTCAACAATAAAGCAATGAATGACGAGGGACCTCTTTTCCGAATGGAAGCGTGCATGGGATGCCGTATTAGAGAAGGCAGACCACAATATTTGTCTTTTGGTAGACAATTGTTCAGCACATCATGTGGTCAGCCATCTCAAAAAGATCACAGTCAAGTTTTTGCCACCCAACACCACGGCGAGGCTGCAGCCTCTTGACCAAGACATCATTAATTTTTTTAAGGTCAGATACAGGCGACGACTGGTGCAGAGGTTCCTGATCAACCTTTGGTTAGGGGTCGAACTGAAAACCGATTTCCTCGGAGCGATACAAAAAGTAACCGGCACGGCAAACAAGCCACGATCGTGAACTGCTTTGGTAAAGTTATCCTTCCAGTGTCACCTAACAACTTTGGGAGCGATGACGATGTCACAGCAGACGACGACATAGAGTGCCTCGAGGATAAATTTCGCCAGCTTTCTGCATTTCCGGGTGCCATCGTTGATGGGGCCACAGTGAGCGATTTCGTCAGTGCTAATCATAATGTGCAAGCCGTTTCGGACTGCATCGATGCAGAAATCGTGGCCGGCATCGCCGTTGACAATGAGGCCGACCAGAGCAGCGACGATGATGCTGACGACGCCTCGGCGCAACCCTGTACCGCTGGAGAGCTTGCGTCGGCATTTAGCCTTATCCGCTGCTGTTGTGGCGCTACGGAAGGCGCTGGGATTGACTATGTGGAAAGCCTCAACAATATTGAGGATGGCCCCATGAATTAATAGCTCAGACAAAGAAGCAAGCCTAGCTCACAGACTTTTTTCGTCCAAAATAAAGTGCGGTGGATTTCGTGTTTTTATTTTTGTATTCTGGGCGGGAAAGCCAGCAAGCGGAAGCTTAGCACAGTCTTTGGATACCACTGCGAGATTCGCAGCACTTCAAGGTAACTTTTAAATGGACATATCTTATATTTCAAATTATCGATATATCGAACTATTTCGCGATCCCCTTTAAGTTCGATATATCCGGGATCGACTCTGGCAACACTGTCTTAAAATAACTTCAAGAGAACTTCGCACTCGGCTCAGCATGCCTTCCATGTGCGTGCAGAAGCCCGAAAACGGCTGTTAATTTGCACGGAATGAATCGTGAAATATCGAGGTTCGTGAGGCCACGCAAACCCGCCGGCGCAACGAAACGATTTTTTGACCACGGCCGCCGATTCTTCGAACACCGCCGCGCGCACCGATTCAGGCAGCCATGCACTCTTTCCAAGTTTTTCTACGTGCGAGTTTCGCGCACCTTTCAAACGAGCTACCCAACTTGCCTCCTTCCTGTGTGTTTTGGTTTTCAAGGTCGCCCTACCGCCGCATCCTCTCCTCTCTTTATCGCAACTGCTTGCCCTTTTCTCGCAAGTCTGTTCTCCTCTCTTGATCACAACCCCTTCACCCGTCTCCACCGCTCCGCGACGCCTGCCATGCTGGCTCGAATTAGTTTAATTTTCTGACTGGAAACGAGCCCAGAGCTGTTCCACGCGTTCTGACATGTGTGTCGTGTGTGCGCGACTTGCTCCCTCTTGGTGTGCGTGTGTGTTCATGATGGCTGACGGGAGGACTAGCACGCTTTTTCCTGCCGCTCAACAAAACGTCGAAAGTGTGACCGCTTGGCTTGAGCGTAATCGGCACGTTAGGCGCCGTGTCGCGGAATGCTTGCTCATAGCTGTTGAGCTCCTGGCAGCTAAGCCGCTTCGGGTGTCCCTGTATTCAGCTGTGGAGATGGTGAATATTTTGTGGGCGGCAGTGAGGGCTACATGCATGCGAAACTGTTTTCGCGAGGCCGACTTCGTCGACGTCGTTACAAAGTTATACTCTGCGACAAATTTTCGTGGCAGTGCAACACAGCGAAGGCTCCAGAGGCAGGGCTTCCACACATTCGTGTTGCTCCGAAAAATAGTACGGCAGCTGGCAGCTGATTTAGTGTTTGCTAGCTAATGTGTCTTTTTCACTGTACATTTAAGTGCCATATTACGACTGTATTTGTCTAGGAAAACTGAACTGTACGTTTGGAGCCGCATAACGATCTACTACGTCATGAACACCATGTTTACTTCGGAAAATGGGCACGCTGAAAAGGTGGTGCTGTCTAAGAAATGGAAAAGAAGTGAAGCCATTCCTGAAAAGTGAACAATAATTGTAGCTTACTGTAATTACTCGAATCTAACGCGCACCTTTTTTCCGGTTAAGCGAGTTCATAAATCGCATGCGCGTTAGAATCGAGTACGAACAAAAAAATTACGGTCAATCTATTGCCATCGGCAAATCCTAAATGGCCGCCCCGTACGTGCATCGGCATGGCGCGTTGGCCATTTATGCCTATGTGTTTCCCGTGTGCGGCGCTTCATACGTGTGCTGAGGAGTTCGTCATCTAGTAGTGCATTAGCATCGACAGCGTGGAAGGGCCGACTCCAAAAACTCGAATGCACCACGATGCCGCTTTTAAAAGAAAAGTCATCGCGTGTGCAGAAACGGACAGAAATCGGGCCGCATTGCGGTCATTCGGAGTTCCCGAAACGTGCGTGTGGGACCGGCGGAAACAAAAGCAGAAGATTGTCGACAGCAAAGCTTCGCGCAAAGGCTTCAGTGGACCACAGCAGGGTCGGTTTCCACAAATTAAAGAGCTGCTCGGCGAGTATGTGCTTGAGCAGCGAGCGGCACAGCGGCCCGTGACGACAGAACTGCTCCAAGTGCGGGCTATGCAATTAGCCTTAGAAAAAGGTCTAATGCGGAGCCAGTTTAAAGCGAGCAGGTGCTGGCTAACTAGCTTTATGAAGAAGAAAGGCTTTTCCCTACGAAGGGGAACATGCATATGCGAAAAGTTTTGCGGAGGAGTACGATGAAAAGCTTCCCAGTTTTCAGAGGATCGTCCTAAACTTGCGCCGCAACAACGGCTACCTGCTTGGGCAAATCGGGAATGCCGATCAGACGCCTCTTTACTTCGACATGCCTGGCACCACAACCGTCGAGAAGAAGGGGGCGAAGCAAGTTCGCGTGCTGACATCGGTCCACGGTAAAACTACAGTGACGGCAATGCTCTGTTACACGTCAGATGGGCACAAGCTTCGCCCGTACCTCATATTTAAATGGAAGACGCTCCCGAAAGGAGTCGTTTTTTTGAGTGGTGTGATCATGCGGGCCAGCGAGAAAAAATGGGTGCGCGTTGCAATCGATGTCTTACGTTTTTTTTTTTTTTTTTCGCAGTGGAAATCGGGTGCGCGTTACAATCCAGGGCGCGGTAGAATCGAGTAAGTACGGTACTTCCAACCTCCTGCAACTGTTTGAGTCTTATAATAAATGAAGCAGCGCATTTCAGCAAGGCAAACAAAAAAATTATCAGTAAATTCAAACGTAATTTCTTTCGTGGCAGCAGGCATGCATTTAGATTCTGTAGCTTCCACAGTACTGCCAAGAAAAGTTGTTGCTGAGTATAGTAAAAGACGTAAACAGTAGGTAACTTTTTTTGAACATGAACGTCACCCAGCGGGATTCCCTCACCAAGAGATGGGTTCGAAGGTGTGATGAAACAAGAAAGGGAGCGACGGTGGCTTAGAAGTTGCCTCTGGCAAAGTCCTGTATCAGCTGCAGGGTGTGGCTATCACAGCCAGCCATGTCCAGCATACCCAGCTCATTGGGTGGCGCCAGAGAGAAGCCCTGGCTGCACATGGCACACACAATGAACCTGGAAAGTGCACAGTGATGTGAGAGCGACGTCAAGGGGCACAGTTCAGATCGAAGCAGTATCAGCTACATGACAAGATAAGCACAGTCGTGAGCAATACAGTTGAACCATTTTATAAGAGACACTGATGAAACAGATGAATGACGATACAGTAAAACACACTTATAACGATCCCTTATATAATGATCTATCAGTTATAACAACCATATTTTGGTGCAATAACGATTTTCTTGTGCTACCCTTTGAAACTGAGTTCACATATAGCGAACATTTTTAAAAGCCTCCTACTTTTACAACGGACACTTTTGACACTCACAGTAAAAATATGGTGCATACAAAGCGAGAAAAATGTTAAGAAAATGCATTTTAAAGCATATAGGTGCACGCTCACATGTGCCTCGCTGTAGTTTACAAGCGACGTAGATATCGTAGACCGCGGCGAGCACCGCACGCAGATTTCCAGACGTTTCTTCACTAGCAGAATGAAAGTAAGAGAAAAAAGAAGACAAAAAGAAATAGAAGACAGCATAAAGACTTGCGGTCAGCTGTAGCACGGCAAACTTTTCTGACGCCGCTCTTGGCATCTACAACCGGCGACGATTACCGTAATTAATCAAATGTAACGCGCACCTTTTTTCTGGTTAAGCGAGTTCATAAATCGCATGCACATTAGAATCGAGTACGAAAAAAAAAAAATGAATACGGTCATTTTATTGCAATCGGAATTCCCAAATGGCCGCCCTCTACATGCGTCGGCATAGCGCGTAGACCATTTCTGCCTATGTATTTCCCATGTGCGGCACTTCGTACGTGTGCTGAGGAGTTCGTCATCTTGTAGTGCATTAGCATCGACAGCGTGGAAGGGCCGACTCCAAAAACTCGAGTGCACCACGATGCTGCTTTTAAAAGAAAAGTAATCGCGTGTGCAGAAACGGACGGAAATCGGGCCGCATCGCGGTTGTTCGGAGTTTCGAAACGTGCGTGCGGGACTGACGGAAACAAAAGCAGAAGATTGTTGGCAGCAAAGCTTCACGCAAAGGCTTCAGTGGACCACAGCAGGGTTGGTTTCCGCAAATTAAAGAGCTGCTCGGCGAGTATGTGCTTGAGCAGCGAGCGGCACAGCGGCCCGTGACGACAGAACTGCTCCAAGTGCGGGCTATGCAATTAGCCTTAGAAAAAGGTCTAATGCGGAGCCAGTTTAAAGCGAGCAGGTGCTGGCTAACTAACTTTATGAAGAGGAAAGGCTTTTCCCTCCGAAGGGGAACGGGCATATGCGAAAAGTTTTGCGGAGGAGTTCGATGAAAAGCTTCACAGTTTTCAGAGGATCGTCCTAAACTTGCGGCACAACAATGGCTACCTGCTTGGGCAAATCAAGAATGCCGATCAGACGCCTCTTTACTTCGACATGCCTGGCACCACAATCGTCGAGAAGAAGGGGCGAAGCAAGTTCGCGTGCTGACATCGGTCCACGGTAAAACTACAGTGACGGCAATGCTCTGTTACACGTCAGATGGGCACAAGCTTCGCCCGTACCTCATATTTAAATGGAAGATGCTCCCGAAAGGAGGCGTTTTTTTTAGTGATTTGATCATGCGGGCAAGCGCACGATCACAATCGAGGGTGCGTTACAATCGAGGGCGTGGTAGAATCGAGTAAATACGGTAATCAACAATGCCTTAATTTAAACGCAAGAAGCCATAAATGCGAGAAGCGATAATTTTTGTCGCATATAAGTTCACAGCGACGCTCAACTCTTTGACACTACAATGTGTCGCAAAAGATTTTCCACCTTTCGGTAACGGCAGAGACCGCCTTATTAGTGATAACGACTTCCACGCTTGCATGCATGTAAATATCCATTAAGCCGATGAGAGGACGACCACTGTAGTACAGTAAAATCTCGATACAACGAACCTCAAGGGACTGCTAATAATCATTCGTTACTCTGAAAAGTCGTCATAGTGAAAGTACTAAAAATTTATGCAAAGATCGTAAACGTAAATACGCGAGGTGCCTACCTGTGTATACATTCGCGACTGCGTTATGTTCTAATGAACATGAAAAAACAAGCAAGCACAAAATAACACAGAACCAGGGCACGTTTATTATTTTGAAGAAGAGCGCAAGCTATCCTACTGTGGACAGCTCGAGTGTTGAAAGATAAACGCACTGCAAAGCATAAGCATTAAATACCGATTCTTCACGTTGCTTCAGACATGATGTTTCAACGTCTTCGCTCTCGTCGCAATTTTCTTACAACAACAAATGGTATGGGTCTCATCAGTCGTCAGCTATCAGACATGCATGCTTCGTTGTCCCACTATGTGTAGAGTTTGAGCATTAATGAAGCATACATGGGTAATCATTGGTGCTATCAACCCATAGGTCACTCGCATCACATTTTTCACTTTGTTGTAGCATTCCTTTCGTGCTGCGTTTGGAGCTCATCTTGAACGTTCTACCATGAACCGAGAAGCAGGTAAACAGCCGTGTAACAAGCGCTCAGCTAAAGCTGCCTGACGAAAACAAATGCAACGAGGCAAAGCCTGATGGGGAAAAACAAGTACCAGGCGATGATTATGGCGATAGGGCCATCGCAGATTTGAATAGGGGCGGGCATTCTATTGATGATGATAGTGGCAGATAGGGAGCTGGGCAATATATTTACAGCTGTGAGTAACTTTTTAACATCGCTATTCGTTATTTCGAGTGTTGTATAGATATATGAGGCATAAAGTTCGATATGTTATTCTGAAACATCTGGTATTCTGAAATTCGTAGCATTTAAATATTTTTACATTGTACCAATGGACTTTTAGAGGAGAATTTTCGAAGAAGTCGGTTATCTGAAGTTCGCTATAACAAGATTTGACTGCAACACAAATGGCAAAGCAAGCAAGTTATCCATAGGTTGCATGTTTAATTCCTGCCGGCAACAAGTTGTTGTTTCGTCCACTCTACTTCCTTCAACTTATACTACTATAAACTGTAAAACTTGAAAGATACCTTCCTTGGCCTCATTACCTGTTGGTGTTTATTAACATCATTTCAAACAAAGAAACAAGCTCTTAAGATTTGCTTCTTTTATCACTACAAAGTTGCAGCTCATAATGACAATTCACCTGGTATTTGGTAAGTCGCAGCTTTCGCGGTACTCCTTCAGGGCCTGGGCAGGATGGACGGACCAGCTCTGGGTCTGGTTGTCGGTGCACACCAGCACTAGGTCAAAGAGCTGCTTCTGCTCGCGGGCCCATCGTAGTGGAAGCGACACATCCACTGGACCCATGGGTGTCTGGGAGCACAAGCAACAGATTCTCGCTTTTTTTCTATCGTTCTTGGCCCCATCAGAGATGGAAGCCAGTTGCTCCACGTATGCAGTATTATTTGTCTGATGTGCACTGGCATGACATCCATAACTTTCAGTTTTATACATTAAGCAAACGCCCAAACTCTCTACAGCTGGGAATAAGTAAAGACAACTGGCATAGCTTTGCAGGCAATTTACTCAACACGACAGACTCCTGTCACATCAAGCCTTCAACGTTAACATATAACTGAAACACACAACTGTTTCAAAAGGGAAGCTGTGGCAGATGCAATTACTTCTATATTATTTAATTGAAGCTGTCTGTGATCACTGGTAGATTACTTGTAGCTGAGACACATTTAGGGAACTAAAATTTCTGAACAATTTAAAAAATGTAGACCTTAACAAGTAACTAAAGAAGGACATTTGAAACAAGTAGAACAAACGTACATAACTAATACATGCAGCAGCAGTCATTCACAAACCATTTTAATGAACATGGCATCTAAGTGCCATCTTTCCTCATCGCTTCTGATGCCCTCTGTGCACTTGCATTATTTTCCTCCTTACTGCAGAATAAACTTGAAGTGGTTATAGAAAAGCCATGTCCGCCTCTCTTATGATGGCTCTGCAAGCCTACAGCCTGTTCAATTTTCTCTTGCCTACCTCACGCATGTGGCGGCTGATGTCGGCTAGACTCATCTGGCCATCCACTTCAAGCAGTGTCAGGCCCCTCGCGGAGAAGGCCGCCGCTGTGACTGCGTCCCCCGTGCGTACCAGTGCTTGCAACATCAGCGCCGACACCTCCGCAGGTGTAAGTCCATCGAGACCGCGCGTGCGCCCGTGAGTCATGGGGCCGCGGACGTCCACTGCCACCAGGTAGCGCTTCCCCGTTGGTGACACTGCCTGCATAAAAGAGAATCTCCAAGTGCTGTAATTGCATCGACACAAAATTCTAGAGTATTGCGAAGTTGAGAAGAACTCTGCAGAAGCGACGAAAAGGCAGGAGAGATGGCGAGGGGATAGCAGGCAGCTTCGAAGAATTCTCCGAAAAGAAAGAAAAAAAAAAAGCAACCCAAGAACCCTCCTGAAATTGTCTAAGGCAACTTGAAAAAAAAAAAAAAAAAGCCGTCTAGTGTGGCCACACACTGCCGCTATTCCCCGATGACTGCATCATCAATGCTTGCATCAACTCGGAGCTCATGCAGCTGTCCGCTCTTCGCTTTAAGTATAAGAGTTATGAATCCACAATCATTTCATGTACTCATTCATTGTCTGTTAGGTCTGCATGAAGGTTAAGCCTGCTTCCAGAGTAGCAAATTGGTAAAGTTATTGCGGTGGGAATTAAAACAAATTACACGTAGGCTGTCAATGCCATGATCCACTGAACAGGACTAATTGGGCAAGCTATCATTTTCTTTGATGAGATGATTTCAGTGCCAAGTAGTCAAACTATGATGTTGTTTTCCATGATTTGCAAACATCAGCAAGGATAACCGAGTAATAGGCACTGCGATTGACAGCAGCGAATACTATAGAAGAAGCACAGCACTCAATGGCAGAAGTCTGCTAGCAGGCATCAGAAAAGCTAGGCCAGCATTGCAGAGCATACAACTGTCATGTGGTTAGTGCTTCAGGGGCACGGACACGCAGATACTGACGGGTGTACGCTGTTGGACCGGATGAAAGTGGGCCCCCACTCTTTATTAGACACAAACACATATAGCATGCAAGTAACAGGGGGCGCCACGCTCCAGTGGTGGCCTAATAGAAGGGCTGAACAGTGGCGACCTTTACAACAACAAAACACAGCTGCACTGCCACACACTAAGTTAACCAAACACATGTGGTACAGAACAGAGTGGCCAGAATAGGTTGACATGCAAAAGCACTAGCTTGAGGCTGTGGTATGATTAAAATAGTGGTGAATGTGGCTTTGCGCTGAACATTTCTGGACCTTGACATGTATGCTCTCTCACAGATGTCATGGCTTAGCTTGCCTGTTGCATGCAATCCAATATACCAATAATAATGCAATTCTGGGCTGTTGCATGCCATGATATGGTTATGAGGCACACCATAGCGATAATCTTCAAACTAGTTCTGGTTACCAGGGGTTCCTAGGCATGCATTAAAATTTAGGTATATGGCTGTTCTTTCATTTCACCCCCACTAAAATGTGGTGGCGGTGGCTGGGAATCAAGCCCGCACCTTCGAACTTAGCCATGCCATAGCTTATTTGCTGTGATACCACAGCAGGTATTACCCCAAAGGGCTGTATGACCACACCAATGCTGTAGCCGCCATATTAATTATAAAGCTGACTAGGTTCATGCACTATGCAGGCAAGACAAACTGCTTATAGGCCATCACATTCAATGTCGGTGGTGTGGATTGAAAAAGAGATGGGCATAAACAATGTTGTCTGCTCGGCACTAACATGAGAAAAAAAAAAGTAATAAGGAAGTTCAGCGGCTGTAATTTGTAACGTGCAAGACAAGGTAATTGGCAGTCTGTTGGTTACAGAATGGTTGCCCAATGTTGTCACCGTCAACAGCCTGTCTCGTGTCTTTTCCATTAAACCAGTCACATGCTTGCTGTAGCTACATTATCCCAGTGAATTTTTCAATCTCATAGGCCCACCTAACTTTGTTTCCCACTACCACATGTGCCTTCTCTTAGAAGCCAGTCTACTACTCCTAATAACCAGCTGTTGTCTCGCATTCTCGCAGCATGCCCTGTCTCTGCTCGTTTCAACTTCTTGCAACAATGCTAATATCGTACACAAGTGTTAACACCGACCCCACTATCTTTTTGTTTCTTAATGTCACATCTATCCGGCTCACTCCTAAATATTCTTGTTTACCCTCTGGGCGCAGCGCCGCACTTTTGACTCTGCGACACCCACCTTAAACGAGTGCTCGTGCAGTGCTGCTACAACATCATCCAGCTGGTGTGATGTCGAGCGGTGGTGGTGGTGATGGTGGTGCTTGGGACGCCCAGCCTCCAGGCTGCGCTTGAGGGCGTACGTCTCGAGAGGCCCCAGCCGGGGAGGGTTCTGCTCAGACGCCGATCGTAGACGCTCTCGCAGCGCCCCCACCAGGGGACCTCTCACGAGCAGACCTCCCCTTGACAGTCTTGGCACGTGAGCCACCAATTCATCCAAGGGCAAACGGCGCACCAGACACAGCCACACCTGATACGGGCAATGGAAAGTACAATGCAGTTTGCATTATTACAGATTGAAGAGAAACACTTAAGAAATATTCAAGTGCACTCAAACTTCCTTACAACAAAAAGGTACTTTACATAAAAAATAAGTTTTCTCTAAAAATTCGTTATAAAGGTATATTCTTAATTAAGGGGAAACGCTGGCCTTGAATTGAAAATTTTTGTTATTGGTGATACTGTAATGACATTAGGTGTGTATAGGTATTTACTTCTCCCCTTTCAAAAATATAATTATTTTTAATGTACACCAACTAGTTGTCAAATTATGAGAGCATAAGAGAAGCCTAATTGCGTAATTTCTTATGGGTCGTTAAGGTACTTTTCCTCAATATTTTCAAGTTCTGTTTGATATGCAGCTGTAGCCAAAAACCTGCAATATGGAACTATACTATTTATATTGTCACTAAGATACATCATCATATAAGAATTATCATTTGCATTGATCCTCCACAATTTCAAAATTTAATTAGCTCAGATTATTGTTCATAACATTTTATATGCCCCTCTTAGCCAAAAAGAAGTAGCATAGCTCCACAGTCCAGTTTCTTACGAGTTCAACAGTATAAAATTAAAAAAAAAAATTGCTTCACAAAAACATGATGAAAAGTTTTGTAAGGCTGGTCAAGTTGACAAAAAATGTGAAGCTGAAAAAATTGAATTTGAAGTTTCGACATGCATTGCAAAATTTTCTATAAGGAACATTTACCACAAATTTTATACACATGTTCCCTATCTATAGTTGAACCCCGCTACAACGAAAAATTCACGGTTCCCCATCAGCAGTCCATAGTAGTCAATGCATAAATATTTTCGCCACAATGAACACTTTTCCTTCTGCTGTCCCGCTTTAACGAAATTCCACGATGCGTTTCCAGGCTCAGATATTTATTGCTATACAGTAAACCGAATATTTAACATTTGGATGCATTTTCAGAACCTGAAATTACGTCGTCGAAGGTTACAACATGCGAAGTCTAAAACATGCGATGAAGTCTAAAATAGCATCAATCCGAAGTGTTTCGTTCGTTGAACTTAATCCCACGGTGTCGTCAGTAGACAGCATTGTTAAAGTTTCTGGCGGATCCAACGGGTCTGGCTGCGACTGCAACTAGCTGCCAAAGGGCACTTGTGGCCGGCGTCTTCTTGTTCCAATGGCATTTTAAATGGCTTCTAAAAGCTTGTCGCATCGATGGTTTTAGACGAGAGTCTCTAGGCATATCGATCGCGGTGAAAAAGTACAGGTGCAAAGCGAAAACACGGTGTGTCGGGAAACACACACGATTGCAAGAGCAGACGCACACAAAAGGACAGCCACGGCGGCGAACGTAACACAAAGAAAAAAAAATGATGAGTCTGTTACCCCAGCCAATGACAGACTCTGAAGAACGCCACGTGAGGGCCAATCGGCGATCTGGAAACGACCTTCAGAAAACCCGCGACAGCAGCCATTCCGCTTGAGTAACGCCAATTTAAGATGGCGCAAAATGTTCACAAAGAAAACAGTTTCAAATCCAGCCCAACAAGGTGGGGCTCGGTCCACCGCAACGCACATGGGGCTTGCAGAAAGTTCAAACAAATTTAATCTTTTTGGGGGCATTTTAGTGCGACTGGGGTACATTGAAGGCCCATTTTATCGCGTTTCCCGACCGAATTCAGCATTAGCAATTTGACAGTAGGTGCTCAGAAGTACAAATGCCCCGAAAATAAGCTTTGCGGAAAATGGATTTCTTGACCATTTTTGACCGTTCTAAGACCTGTGTCCCCCCTTAACACTTTTATCTATTGCAAGACTATTCTTCATTTACTTCATTATAACCAATATTTTGCTTTATCTGGGTTCGTTATATCAAGGTTTTAGTGTATTTTTTGGAAAGAGCATGTGTGCTTTCTTTGCACATGAAGGTTACTTACTACAGAAAAAAAAAAAGAGGGCCAAGCTTTTAGATTGAATTGATTTTCTTAATGGACGTCTGTCACATAAGAGGAAACCTCACGTACTATCATACTATCATGCTGGCACACACTTCTTTCACCTTTAATTTCGTCCTCTGCACTGTCCTGCTAGGCAATTTGTCTGTCATGGACTCTACTAACTTAGATGGGACAGATAATGAGCACAGGAAAAGAGAAAGAAGGACATAGATGGAAAGAAAAGAAATAAAAATATACAGACAGGAAAAAAATACACAGAGAAAGACACAAAAAAAGGACAGAAAAAACAGATCAAGGCAGAAACAGAAACCAAGGGAGAGAAAGAAGCAAAGAGAGAGAAAGAAAATAGGAAGTGAGAAATATGGAGAAAGAGAAGAAAAAAGAAAGAGTGACAGAGAAAAAAAACAGAAACAAAAAAGATTTAGTCAAGCTGCTTTGTGCTGTGACTGCCAAGCGATACCCAATTGACCTGACCAATACCTAGCCAATACTCGTGATTTAAAATGCGATCACATGAAAAGTTTGGGCATTGGGGTGCAAATGCATATGAGCCTAGTCAAGCCAGGACCAGCTAAGTGCAGACCTCCTCTGCTTTGCCCCCAAGTCTAGTATGGCTCAGTGTAGGCGGCGCAAATTAGTTGGTTTTTGGGTTTTAGTGCATGAAGCTCCATGAATGTGCACCAGGATATTGAAGAAAAGAGCTAGATTAAATAGAACACACTGCTTAGCATTCATTCAAGGTTTCAGTGCAACAGCACTGAAGATGTTACGAAAGATGTTATGCATGCGTACCTCCCTGGAGCGCAGCAGGTGTGAGGGCACGTGCTCGAAGGCGAGCTGGTGCTCCTCCAAGAGGCGGGCGGCCACTTGCTCGTCCTTGGTGTGCCGCACCTCGTGCACCGCCTGAAGATAGGCCAGGGCCTCCCGAGCCTCCTCGATGCTGCCTCCTTCCGCTTCCTTTTCTTCCACCATCTTGGCGGCAGCTGGAAGGCCGCGCGCCAGGTAGCGGAGCACCACGGCAACACCTGCCGCCATGAAATGACAGAGAACATTGTGCAGATTGACATAAACGGATGTTTGGGCAAGTTGGTTCATACTTACGAAAGATAAAATAGTGCAAAAAAAAACAGCGCCGTATCCGTGCGTCTTTCTGTGTGGCCCATCAATCTTGTGTTATTTAATACCGTATTTACTTGCATAATCGGCGCACTCGCATAATAGGCGCACCCCTAGTTTGGTCGCGGAAAATTCAATTTTTTTTTTCCCGCGCATAACAGGCGCACCCCGAACTTGGCCGTGATCAGAAACGATTCTACCCCCCAGCGGTACAGTTGGAACGCGGTCCCCGTACCCTGAAGAAAAAAAAGAAGGCAAATCGACGAGCAAATAAAAAAAAATTCAAAGTGCAACGACCTAACCAACATGTTTGTCGAAATAAAACTTGAAAAAAAAAAAAAGCGTCCATGAGCGAAAAAAAAAAAACGGCTGTTCCATCAATTACTGATACCCCCCAAATCGCCGCGCTTTTTGGAGGCCACGTGTACAACGCCGGGGGCTCGATCGCCATCACCACCATCAGAGAAAAAGAAAGAAACGCCATTTTGCAAGCGGTGTGCGTATGTTGTGGTCGTGTATTGAACTTTGGTTCCACCATGGGGAAGCTTCAAGAAGACGGGTATCTCGAACGCACTGGATGCGAGTGAGGATGACATGTTGTGGGGTGCGGATGATTCAGACACCGAAAACGAATCCCCGCTCGGCGAGGATGAATGTGTGATCTCCGACTCTGACTCCGAATAGGGAAAAGGAGGAACAGCTACGACTTTTGTGTAAATAAATTTTACGTGTGTGTGCGCAGTTGACGGCTCTCGCTTGTTCATTAAAGGTATGTAGGTATGTTTGTTTTATGCTGAATTAATTGGTAAACGATAAAGTCGCCTTTTACTTGACAAGTGTGCAGATTTAAAGCGCGAGAACCGAGTTGAAAAAATTTTCGAAAATTTTACCCCGCGTAATTGGCGCACCCCTAACTTCGAGCCGGATTTTCTGAAAAAAAAAAAAAAGTGCGCCTATTATGCGAGTAAATACGGTATTTCTTATGCAGGTTCAATATAGATAGGATAGTGGAAGTAGCCGAGGAGTTTCACAGAGATCTGTACAGTAGCCAGTACAACCCTGACCACAATGTAAGAACTAGCAGCAACCGAGATGACAACCCACCAGTAATGAAAGAAGAAGTCCGGAAAGCTTCGGGGGGAATGCAAAGAAGCAAAGCTGCTGGTGAGAATCAGGTAACATCAGATCTGCTGAAAGACAGAGGATAGATTGTGTTAGAAAAACTGGCCACCTTGTTTACGAAGTGTCTCTTGATGGGACGGGTACCCGAATCTTGGAAGAATGCTAACATCATCTTAATCTGTAACAAATACAACCACAAGGGCTCGAAGAATTACGGGCCGATCAGCTTGCTCTCTGTAGTATACAAACTATATACACAAGGCTAATTGCTAACAGAATTAGGACAACATCAGAATTCAATTAACCAAAGGATCAAGCAGGATTCCATACAGGCTACTCAACAATTGAACACATTCGTACTGTGAAGAAGAAGATGGGCCTGCAGCAAGCAGCATCGCCAACGCCCGGCTCTCTCGGCTCGTGCTTCGGTTCGTTGCTGTGCCGATCGCTAGACGGTTCTTCATGCTGTCTCGTTGCTGTCTTTAACGGCTATTAAACCTCTTCACATTTGGTGGAAGGTGCTGTTAATCCCCGTTGCTACACCCTGGAGCTGCGAAGCCGCACGCTACCGCCTGTCATGACTGACAACGCCACTACATCGGTGCCTTCGCCCCAGTTCAACTGCCCTGGCCATCCTAGGCTACGAGACCTGAGTCTTCAGCGGTGCGGATGGGACCAACTTCGAAGACTGGCTCGAGCACTACGAACTGGTGAGCGCCAACAATAAGTGGGATGAAGCTGACAAGCTGGGCCACGTCATATTTTATCTCACTTGCGTCGCCGAATTGTGGTTTAACAACCACAAACACAACATCCCCACATGAAGCGTCTTCAAGACGTCATGTGCTGAAGTGTTCGGTCGGCCGGCTGTCCGCAAGCAGCGGGCAGAACAGCGCTTGCACGTCCGCTCTCAGCAGACTGGCGAGACCTTTACCAGCTATATTGAGGACGTCGTCGACCTTTGTCGACATGCGAATGACACCATGCCCGAATCTGACAAGGTCAAACACATCCTGAAGAGCATCGACGACGGCGCATTTCAAATGCTCTTGGCAAAAAATCCGAGCACAGTTTCTGAAGTCGTCAGCTTGTGTCAGAGCTACGACGAGTTAAAGAAGCAACGCACTCTGACTCGGCAGCTGCAACATAGTGGTGAGTCACTGTCCAGTTTCGACACCCTGCCTGACAATTCACCGTTGCTTCAGCAAGTTCGAGCCTTCGTCCGTGAGGAAGTCGCCCGCCAACTTTCCCTAATGCCCTTCACTCACGAGACCACCACCCGTCTACCTGCCCCGCTTCGCACTGCTATTTCGGAAGAGGTTACCCAAGCTGTTCCTCTTGCGCACCACGAGCCACCTCTATCCAGCCGTGTTCACTGCCAGCGTGTAGCGCAGCCGGTAGGTGCTCCTGTCGCCTATCCGCCAGCCTGTGGCCACACCCCTAACGTATGCAGCGCAGCCTGTGGCTCCTCCTGTCGCCTGTTCGCAAGAGATGCAGCCTGTAGCAGCGCCCTTCACATATGCAGACGCTGTTCGTAGGCTTACGCAACCACCCTACACCTCGCGCTCACAGCCCACACACCCGGCTGCTTATACTGCACCTTGGGCAGCACCACCAGTCGTCGCCAATTCTTGGAGGACGCCCGATAACCGACCGATATGCTACACCTGCTTCACTCCCGGACACGTTGCCCGCTACTGCCGCCGTCGACCTCAGACGTTCGGCGACTATGTCCGATCGTCGCAACCCGGCAGCCAACCCTTCGCGCCATGCGGGCCGGCCTCGTCACCTCGCTATGCCCCTCCCAACGACCCCGACTTCGTGACGCCGCGCGTACCCTCTCCTCGTCGGCGATCGCCCTCCCCCATGCGTCGCCGGCCTAGACCTTCTGACCAGGAAAACTAAGCACCGCAGTTCAAGAGGCAAGAACTGCGCCATTTTCGAACTGTCTAAGCCTTCACCCCTTTCCTGCTAACGTGGTCGCAGTAACTGTCGAAGGTTATCGTACTTTTGCCCTTGTGGACACCGGCGCCGCTGTTTCTGTTATTGCCGCTAATGTCTGCCGTGTATTACGTAAAGCCACGACGCCGCTTTCGGGACTGTCACTCCACACCGCAAGTGCACAGCAAGTAACGCCTCTCGCAGCCTGCACTGCAAGAGTGTCCATCAAAGGCATTGTTTACATTGTGGAGTTTATTGTCCTCGCTGTCTGTTCGCATGACGTCATCCTCGGATGGGACTTCCTATCCCGCCGTAATGCCGTCATCGACTGCGCACGCGCTGAAGTTGAGTTTTCACCCTTTTGTGATGTCCCATTACTTGACGCTCTTCATCAGCTGCCGAAGTTGTTCGTGCATGAAGATACCAATATTCCACCTGAAAATTTCGCACTTGTTCCAGTTTCATGCAACGCCTACACAGACGCTACAGTCTTTTTTATGCCTTCCGATATCTTCACGAGTCGTCGAGCTCTGCCGCTGCCTTTCGCAACGATTGACCTTGCCGCCGGAAGAAGCAATATGTTCATACTTAATCCGCTTTCCACACCTGTCACTTTGCTTGCGGGGGAATGTCTCGGCCGCGTGCAGGATCTCGACCCTTCGTCTTTGGTTGATGTCCCGGATGACTACTGCGACCACCCAAAATCACTGTCGGCCCTCGAGGAGTCGTCCAAGGATACGTTTTCCAGCGCCATCGCCGACACCCTCACTCCCACCGAACATGCCGACCTGCTTGATCTTCTGCATGAGTTCCGGAATTCTTTCGATGTGTCGCAACCTCAACTAGGCCGCATGTCGCAAGTCAAGCATCATGTTGACACCGGCCTACACCAGCCACTCCGTCAAAGACCATACCGTGTCTCCACTGAAGAGCGCCGAGTCATCAATGATCAAGTCGAAGATATGCTTCGTAGAGACGTCATTCGACCATCTCACAGTCCCTGGGCGTCTACTGTCGTCCTGGTGCGTAAGAAAGACGGATCTATCCGATTTTGCGTGGACTATTGTCGTTTGAATAAGATAACCCGCAACGACGTATATCCTTTGCCGCGCATTGATGACGCCATTGACACCCTTCACGGAGCGGAATTCTTCTCTTCGCTAGATTTGCGGTCTGGCTACTGGCAAGTTTCAACGGCTGAAGCCGATGGCCACAAAACTGCATTTATAACACCTGACGGACTATATGAGTTTAACGTCATGCCCTTTGGGCTTTGTAACGCGCCCGCCACGTTTGAACGACTTATGGATAATACGCTACGTGGCCTCAAGTGGAATATATGCCTCTGCTACCTCGACAATGTCGTGGTTTTCTCGCACGATTTTCCTACGCACCTCCTTCGCCTCAGGCACGTTTTGACTTGTCTGACCAACGCTGGCCTGCAGCTTAACCTGAAAAAATGCCGCTTCGCTGCACGCGAGCTTGTCATCCTAAGCCACATCGTGTCGAAGCACGGCGTATTACCTGACCCAGCAAAACTTCGAGCAGTCCCAGAATTTCCCAAACCGGCGACTATGAAGGAACTTCGCAGTTTTGTAGGCCTATGCTCTTATTTCCGACGCTTTATTCGCAATTTTGCATCCATAATGTCATCATTAACCCAGCTTCTTCGCGGTGACGTGAACCTCTCCTCCTGGTCCCCTGCATGCGACGTTGCCTTCACTACTCTGCGCCGCCTGCTCACCTCCCCACCTATTCTTCGCCACTTCGACCCGACGGCTCCTACCGAAGTGCACACCGACGCCAGCGGCGTCGGGCTAGGCGCTGTCCTCGCTCAACGAAAGCC